GTGTAAGAAACTCCTGGACGTTTCACTCTTGCATTTTATGCAACTAAAAGCTAAACCCAGTGGCCACAAAGTCTTCCACCAGATGTCACAGTCCTCTGGGTCTGCACAGAGTTTGTGTCCAGCTGCCTGCAGCTTTTAATTATGAATCAAACACTCAGGGACAAGGAAGGGTTTGAACTCACATTCCTAACGTGGATCGTTTGCATTCTGCCTGTCACCTTCACAGAAAGATGTTCCAAGCATCAGGAAAAAAAGGAAAAGAGACAATAGCCAAGCTAATCCAAGAGAGAGAGGATTAGAAGATCCATATCTCTGCCTCTGTGCTGATCACTCCCTTCCTTGGTGTCATTTTTCTTTGTCCTTCTTACTTCAGGCTGGGACTTTTGACCTCACTAATCACTTCAGATCAAGTAATAAATTAACTGAGACTTCTCTTTGCAACCCATTCCCCCCCTCTAGTATCCTTTCCAGCTGGAATATCATCATAAACCAGATAAATCAGCACCTCTTGTGCCTCTACTCAATGTATTCACAAGGTAAAGCCTCCCAAATCACTCTAAAGGATATTCATGAAGGAATGTAATCGATATATCTCAGATTTAAGTGCTCCTTCTGCCTTCTGCCACTTTTTCATTTTGCTGCTCCAAAATACCTGCTCCATTTCTTAAAAGTTTCCTCTAACTTTATTTTATAGCAGAAAAGAGCACGTTTCCCTCCCTGATCAGTTACCAGTGGCCTCTGCTGGGCACTTCTGTTACTTCAGACAATAAAGATTAAAAAAACAAAGTGCACAGACTCATACAGCAGTTTGTATTTTCTATTTCTGGTTTTACAAGGCCTGGTTTCCCCTCTCCTGGTCAGCCAGCAGCGTTTGTATTTTGAAAATCCATATCCCACCGATGGAAAACTGCACTATCCTGGAGATTTCAAGTTCCAGATGCATCACCCTGGACTGCAGCCACACCTGACAATTTGACTGACAAGGACAAATTCCAGAAAAAAACCCACCCAAAGCCAAGACCTATTCAAGTGTTAACTGATAGGAAAAACCAACAAAACAATTCTTAAAAGCTGGAGGAATTCTCCTCCAAAAAAATTGTTAAACTTAAAGGGCTCCAAGGAGGAACTTTTCATTTCAGCAGGAGCCATGCGATCTCTCCTCAAAACCAGGGCTTTTTCTCCAACTTTACAAAGCTCCACCAACAGCTTTTACTTACCCCAGGGATTTTCAGCAATTCCACAATGAGCAGGGGCAGCTTCAGAGCAGCCACACTTCCAGTCACCCCCACCAAGACGTGGAATTTTTTCTGTGGCATGGTTGAGTTTTTCCCTGCAGGAATCCCTGGTTCTAGCGGGGAGACAGGCTCCATACTCCAGTCAAACCCTGCAAGTACAGAAAAACAAAGACACCGGACTAACAGTGCCTCCAAGCACAGCAGGGCTCCAACCCCAACATATTCCAGAGGGCACAGATCCAAACCTGGACTCTGCATGACTCAATTCAAAATAGAGTCTAATCCACAAAGCTTTCGAGCACCAGCAAACCTTTAAGCTCAGTTTAATGTTTAATTGCAATTTAATTTTCTCACAGATAGTGTAAACACACCCCTAAAACCTGCACTAGGAGGCCACAAAAGTGCTCTGCTAACCCCAGCCCTAAAAACAAAGGAAATATGCTCTCAGATATTGAACATGGTCCAGAATTTAGGATAAATACCTTTCACATCAAGTGCTGCAAAGACATACAACCCCTAGCTGAGTTGCTTTCTCCTTATACTCCTAGTGGATAAAAAATTCAGGGAGATGTCTTAATATTTAAGAAGTTGGAGTCTCAAACCAAGCATAATCATCCTATTTCTTATTGTATTCCTCAATATTTAGAGCAGCCCTAGAAATTATTCCCTAGCAGCTTTAATTCAGGTCCCCTGCCTCCTCCTGGCTTCCCTGTGCTGCTGCCACACCAGCAGAAATCACAAATGACTGTTCTGGTGGGGAAATCATTAGAATTGACACAAATATCTCAAATATCAAAATATCATCAACTAACAAGTAATTAGCAAAGAGTAAATTCAGTGTTTGAAAAATCATGATATTCAGTGAAGTTTGTTCCATTTTAGTGATGTCCTTATTATTCAGACAAAGCTGCCTGGAAGCACTTTGGGTAGAACAAAGATGAAGAACAAGAGGTTTAGGCTGCCATTATTTTTGGGACCAACTTGGATGTTGGAGTGAGGAGGCTGGATTCCCCAGAGAGAGGAATTTCATAGGATCACGGAAGGATTTGGGTTGGAAAGGAAATTAGGGGTGATTCAGTCCCACTCCCTGCCATGGGCAGGGCACACTTTCCACTAGCCCAGGTTGCTCCAAGTTTTGTCCAACCTGGCCTTGGACACTTCCAGGGATGGGGCAGCCACAGCTTTTCTGGGCAGCCTGTGCCAGAACATCAGCGGGAAGAATTTCTTCCCAATATCCCATTAACCCTCCAGTCACTACCAGGAGCAGGTTAACTTGGGATCCTTCATGGTTGTGCAGCGGTTACATGGAATTCTGACCCTCTCACCCAGACAAACACCCCTTCTAACCCCCTCACACCACCACCACCTTCTTTTTCCATGCTCTGCTCAGAATTAGCATGTTTAACTCCAGCCCCAGAAGTTTCTCAGTGTGTTTATAAAATGCATTACCAGGAAAAGAGCCCAATTTCAGCTGTGCTGATTAGCAAGGGTACTAAGAGGTGAGGAAATGTAGCAAGCACATTGGCTGGGGGATTTTAATGCTACTATATGCTTCATATATTCATCTGTATCTAATTAAACTTAGAAAGTTATTGTTTATTTATAAATAATTAAAATTATTATTTAATTAAAACATCCCTAGGATGCTTTCAAAATTTCCCTTATGATTCCTAAATGACAATTAATTCCCCAAAGCATCCACAAATTAAAGCCTGGGGAATAAGAGGTCGGGCACCTTTCGAAACGGGTCACAAATGATAAAAATTACAAAATAATTACAAACCCGGTAAAATAACCATAAAGCAGTACTAATTATAAAATCATAAAATATCGATAAAAATTATAAAAGTATCACTTGTAAAAGTCATAAAAACTGTAAAATAATGGCAAAAAGGTAGAACAGTGACAAAAATTATAATAAAATATGTATATTAATATAAATATTACCAATTATTATATAGTATTTAACAATACATAATTATATATCATATACTAGTTGTATATCATTACAATTAAATATAATTACAATTATATATCATATATAATAATATATAACAAAAGGAAATATATAATATATGCTATATATTACATATCATATAATAGATATATATAATATATATCATATATTATATATTATATTATATATATAATATAATATATATTATAGATAACATTACCTATCATATAATATATATTATATTATATATATATAAATTACAATGATATTAAAGTGCTGGGTTGCACTCTTGCCCAAATACAGCCCTGGGGCAACAGCCACTAGAAAACAAGCAACTTACAGGCCTTATGCGTTATTTAAACAGAATTTTAATGCCGTAGTGATGCCCGAAATCGCTCCAAAACACGCCGCAAAAGGGCACGCACAGAGCAGCGCCGAGAAACGCCCCCCGCGGGCTTCCCGAACGTGACAAACGGCGTTTCTATAACGGTGGAGGCAGGGTGGTCGCGGTCCGGACTGACGGGGGAGAGAGAGAAGGCGACAATCCCCGAGCTCCGGCACAGGGACCGCGACCGGCGGCGGCGATACAGCCTGAGGGCGGCCCGGCCCGGCCCGGCTGGCGCGGGGGGCGCCGGGAAATGGCGGGGGCGGGCGGAGCGGGTGTCATGGCCGCCTCCCCCTCACACCCCCTCACGCTCCCTGTCCTGCCCTGCGGGTCCCCCCGCAGCCCCCGGTTCGGCGGCTCCGCTGCCACCCCGGGAAGGTTTTGAGCGTCTCGGTGCCACAGCTGCGCCCGCGCCGCGGCGGCGAAGCCCATGGGAGGGATCTCGCCAAGGGCAGGCACACGGGTGTCTTCAGGGTACTGAGGAAATTGTTTAAGGGGGTTCTGGCTCATTGGCAGGGTTTTGGAAATAACAGAGGGCAGCAAAACTCGCTTCTGGCGGGGGGGGGGGGGGCATAAAAGGCGTGTTGAGGCATCTGAGGTCCCCTCAAGTGGCAGCTCCAGGTGATATCTGAGCCCATGGAAGTGGTACGGACCTGGAAGAAAACCTTTCCTACAAGGATTCAGGGTAGCCACACAGAGCTGGCAGGGGAAGGTGGGTTAAAGAATCACTCATTGCCTGAGGTGCAGACACGATGGGGGAGAATGCCTTCAAAATTGAAGAGAATAGGTTTAGATGGGATACTGGGAAGAAATTCTTGGCTGTGAGGGTGGTGAGGCCCTGGCACAGGTTGCCCAGAGAAGTTGCGGTTGCCCCTACAATGGAAATGTCCAAGGCCAGGCTGGATGGGGCTTGGAGCAACCTGGACTAGCGGAAGGTGTCCCTGCTGGATATCTCTGAAGTCTCCCTTCCAGTCCAAGCCATTCCATGCTTACACGAGCACAACAGATCTGGGGCAGTGTGTGGTCCACAACCCTTTCCAGATAACTGCTGCTTTTAAGCTGTATTTGGACATCCCTCTAATATCAGTACAAACAAGCAGCATGAAAGGGAAGAGGCAGAGAGAGCTCTGTTTTGCTGACTGCAGGACATGGGAAGCAACAGGGAGACATCAGGAAGCCCCCAGGTGTGTTCTATCTGGAGCTTCCTCTTGCCCGGCTACAGGAACACCTCATTTCTCCCACCCTGTGGGCTTCAGGAGCACCACGCTTTGATCACAACCACATCAGCCCCATCAGCCCCATCTGAAGCAGGGACAGCTTAAAAATAAGCAAGGTGAGAACAGAGGGTAGAGTTTTCCAACCTGGTGTCACAGGGGCACATTTCAGCGCTCACACACTCAGGAGACACACCGGAGAGGAGGGGTAGGTGCTGAAGCAATGTCTGTTAGTTACAGCTCGTTACAGTTATTATTGATGCATCTTATTGTCAATGCAAAAGGTGAAGTCACTTAATCCATCATTTCTCAGACACAGATGACAGAGCACATGGTTTGGCAGAGTAAGTTTTAGGCGAGCTAGAAATGGATTGCACAATATTTAAACCTGATTAAACATAATAGGCTCAGCAAAGGATTACTTTTCTCCTGACATTTTATACATAAATATATACACACACACGCACAGACAGGCATTTTATCAATAGCTGCATTTTAGTCTGGTCAAGAGATGACTGCCTACTGCAGAATGACTGAAGTGGTACCTTAAAAAGGAAACTAGTCTTGGTGTGCTTTGCTGGAGAAGAGAAGGTCCTTTTAGGGGTGATTCTTGGGGGTAGGGGTCACATCCAAGCATCACTGGGGGGGTAGAGGGGATGGGTGAGGGGCTGGGGACTCACATAGCCCTGGCTGGTGGCACACCAAGCTCCTTCCCTGTACAAGAAAGGAGATACTGGAGCTAAGGAAGGGGCTGGATTGGATTCTGTTTGGACTGCTTTTCAAGGACTTGGGAGAAAAAACTGGCCTATTTAAAGTGCATTTAGAGTTGAAAAGCATCTCTGAGAAGGAGCTTTCCCGACTCCTGCCCAGCAGCATCCATCCCATTAATGATCCTACTCACAGTCTTTTCCAGGGCATGCCAGTCACTCTTCCCAAGAGGTGTTAGTTTGAGCTCAGCTGCCTCTTGCTAGGATGCAGGATCATTATTTAATGCCCACCATCCCCAAAGTGGGCAGGATTCAGGGCTGGCAGGGATTTCTGCACCAGGAAAACACCTCACCACGCTTTTTAGGAGCGCAAGTAAGTGGGAATCCTTCCTGCCAGCCTGGAGGTTTCCTAAAGAGCCTTAAATTAGCATATGCCTCCAAAGCTAGCAGGGACAAATCTCGGCCTGGCTGTTTCTGTCGTCAGGGAGACTGCTTGGATATGGGGTGGCAAGATTTGACCTGCAGCCTTGCCCAAGAGTAGGTCCTCTGAGGAACACTCCGCTGCTTTTACAGCTGCTTTTCAAAACAGAAGCCTTTGAAAAAAAAACAGACTCAGGATGCAGAATCCAGAATGGGACAGTTGTATCCCGCAGGGAAAACCTGTCCTTGCTCCCCAACACACACACACACAAACACACACACACACAAACACACACACACACAAACACACACACACACACAGGTCCTCCATGTCAAAATGTGTAAACTACTCACTTACAACACCACACGCTGAGAGAAGTTGTAGATCCTGAGCCAGGGTGTAGATTAGGAATCTCTTGGCTTCCAGCATATCAACAGCAGGATTGAGGGTTTCTCATTCCTCCCCCCCCTTTTCTTTTTTTTTTTAATACTAAATCAACCAGCCACCTGCTAGTTAAAAAGCAAAAGAAAAAGGAGAATTCCCGGGACTGCTTGCCCTTGCTGAAACAACGGCAAGTGGCTGGACACTACCAAACGAAAGAGAAAACTCACACACACCAGAAACCTGTTGTTCAGGGCTTATTCCAAGAGGGGAAGATGGGTGCTGGTTGCTGTTTTTCCCTTTTTAGGGGTGTGGGGGGGCTTTTGGCTGATGAGGTTCTAACGTACACCTATCACCACAGTAATTAAAAAACCACCACTGTGCACTATTCCACAGAGAAAAAGAAGACGTGAACGGACACTGACTACCACGCACAACAAGAGCCCTGCAGGTCAACTCACAGCCTCTTCAGAATGAAAAAGAAAGGAGAAAAAAAGAGCTTAAAACAAGGGAAAGGAAAAAAAAAAAAAAAGGAAAGAAAAAAATCCCAAAGAATCTCATTACAAAGACGGAAAAAGAACCACCACTATGGTACACTCCAACTTTCTGAAACAGCTGCAGAAACTCGCTCAGCCTTCTTCCTCCTCTCTTCCCCCCCCTCCACCAGCTCTTCCTCCTGAGGACAGAGTCCTGCTGCTCACATCTCGTTGGAGTAGGTATAGTTGGGGGTGGCCGAGTACTGCGTTTCGTGCTGCATCATCGCGCCCTGTGCCGCCCCCATGGCCGCGTTCTGGGCCGCCTGCTGCACGTGGGGGTTCTTCCACGCCCCCGTGGTCCACTCTTCCTGCGCTTTGCTGAAGCTGCCGCCGCTCCCCCGGTAAAACTTGTGCACCTGGAGGGAAAATCCAGAGGGGTTGAGTGCCTGCAGCTGGTGCTGAGCTCCCTGGGTGGCAGTGAGGGGACCCCCCCACCCCAAGCAACGTGGCACACCCATTTCTCCTGCCATACCATGGTGAGAGCGATGAAGGAGAAGACTGCCATGGCCGTGAAGAGCACGGTGGGGATCAGCATCACCACAGCTGACCCCACGTTGGTCCCAAAGAAGGAAATCGCTGCAATCCAGCCACTGCAAGGAGATGAAAACAACCAGCTTTCCCAAATTGTCAGCATCCTTCCCAGCTCCTCAAACCATCCTCCCCAAGGAAAGAAGCACCGAGGATGTTAAAACACCATGGTGACCACCCTTGCACCCAACGCAGAAGCGTTTTCCTTACCAGACACCCCATCCAGGGATTCCCACCGCCTGGATAATGCTGATCACCAGCTGGGCCATGAAAGTGAAGAAGAAGGCCATGAAGCTGAAGGAACTGTCTGTCCTGCAAGAGAGGGCTCAGTCACTCCCTGCACCTGCATCCCTGCTGTGCTTCGAGGAGATGCTCCTATGTCTCAGACCCGGCTGTGATTTAGCAGGAGGGTGGTGAGAAGCAAAATTAAAGGCAAAGGAAAAACTGCAAGAGGCTGAAAGTGGTGAAGGGGCACCTGGGAAAAGCCATGGGGGCACCAGACCCTCTCCATGGCTCGGCCAGCTCTGCACATTGAGCTTGAGGACATCCATGCTGGGACATAGCTCTTGGATTACACCACCGCACACGGGGAATAAATACATACCCAGACTTCTAGATTTGGGAATCAACCTCAGCAGCATGGATAACCCATACAAACACCTCGAGGACTTGTGGAGAAATATAAAAGAAGCCTCAAGGATGAAAGAGAGGGAGAGCTGCACCCCAACTGCATCCTCACCACTCCCCCACCGCTGCACAGAGGCACATGGAGGGTGCCCTTACATCACATGGTTGGGGGTTTGGCCCTCGGGAAATCCCAGACACCCTTGTTTTGAAGGTTAGAAAGTAAAAAGCTAAAAGGCTGGATGGAAAGAAATTCCCCTAGTAATTTAGGCAACGCCCCAGTCTAAACCGCGATGGTTTAGGAAGGAAAACAAGGCAAAAAGAAGCCAGACTCAGGTGCGACCACTTACTTGAAAGCTTTGTAAATAGGTCTAAACCAGCAGACATAGGAGCAGGGCGTAAAGAGAATGAGCCAGAGAATTGCCAGTCCAAAATTTACCGCTCCGCCGCCTCCAATGAGCCACGCGAGGCAGCCCACGAGATTCACTGCCAAGGTGATGCTGTTCACTGCAAACACACACACACAGAGCAGAGTAGCACGGACACAAGGATGGCAGTGAGATATGAGAGACCCTGACCCCAGGGACGTGGCCTCGGAGTCCTGCCCTAGCCGGATTTCCCTTAAATTAAGCTGGGAGCACATTCCCAGGCTGGCTGAGCCAAAGAGGGTCAAACCTCAGCTGAAGAGTAGGAAGAAAATCAATACATTACTTGGAGTTGTAATTCCTTAAGCAGGTCCAGGTCCCAACCTGAGAACTGGGAAGAGCCACATTCTCCCACTCCCACAAAGCCAGAACACATTACCACTAATGGAAGGAAACTGGAGGAATCAAAATGAAGCTTTTTTTTTTTTTGCTTGCTCCAGATACAGTTTTGCTGAAGGAGCTCGTGCAGGACTTCCCCAAGTATGGCTGAACTCCTGGCCCCACCTCACCAGTTCAGGGGGCGACACATTTCCCTCACCCACCCCTGCTTGGGGTCAGGCCACACAAGGGCTCTGACTATGTATCCCAGATCAGCAGACACAGGACAAAGCAGAGAATGCTCAGCTGCATTCTGACGCCTCCGAGTTCGGAGAATGATTCATTATTTTGACGAGAATGAAAACCCTCCCACCATCGCCTGCCTGAGAGCTGCAGCTGGCAAGGAAAGGAGCTCAGCTGCCTGGGCTGCCCTAAAGAACACCAAAAGGACCTTCCTGCCGCTCTGTCCTAGGTATCTGAGGAGGTACTGGGGAGAAAATGACCCAGAGAGGAGCTCTGGAGGCAGAAACCAAGGGACAGTGAGTGGCTTCAAGAGCTGGTGGTTGTGCTGTGGAGCAAGAACCGAGCTCTGTTACAATAAGAGGAAGAACAGTCAGATTGGGATAAGGAGGGAACTGAACACCTCCAAGACAGCTTCCCCAGGGAAGCACAGCTTTTTTTCACTCCCCTTCCTAAGACAAGCTACACTAACCCTCCTGACATGATGGAGCTACCCCAGGGTCACCTTCCTGATGGGACACAGCCCTGGGGGTGCCGAGCCTGGTGCTGTGCCAAAAGCAGGAACACCCTGACCTCTCTGGTGCCAGCTCAGCTCTTCATAACCTGCCTCTAAAGCACAAGGCACTCCTTGGGCACTGGTGCTTCCAAAGTTCAGGGAAAACACCTCATAAGGAAACTACACTTCTAAAACTGATAAGGGAACTTCTGAAAAGAAATTAAAAGCTGGTGCCAGCTTGCCCCAAGCTGCACACATATGTTTCCACCTATGTGATCTGTCCCTCTGGCTCTATTCCCTGCACAGGGTTGGTGAGGAAGAGAGATCCAGGATAGTTTGAAGAGCTGGAAGCTGGTGACAGCTCTGTTAGCACAGCACGGCACACACAGGCATGCAAGAGGAACAGGCAAGCTCTGGGAAGCCTCGGGCTCCCACGTTTTGGGGAGCAGGCACACCAGCCCTCCAGTCTGAGCTGTCTCCTCCTTGCAGTGAGATGTCAACATCACCACTGATGGCCCTCAAGACACTGAGCCAGCTCTGCACCTCCGTCCTGCAGGTCAGGAGGGCTGAGACCCGTGGGGTGCTGCAGCCCACGTCCCATTCCTGGATTTTAACAGGAGGCACCAAGGCCTGGAGGGGGAAAAGGGCTTCCCCTGACCTTGCTCTGCTCATTCAGCTGGCGGCTCCAAGAAGAGCAGCCGCTGGAGAGGCAAACAAATCCCACCCAAGCCATTCCCAGCCAGTGACTCACACATCCAGAGGTAGTAAAGTCGCTTGGCCATGGTCCGATGCTGTGGCGGGATCTCCGCATCGAAGTCCTGGTAGAAACATGGCTTCAGGGGGATGAACTTGGGCAGGGGAGGGAAGTTGTTCACCTTTTCTGCAATGAAAAGTTTCATCACTGTCAGGCACAGCCCGGAGCTGAAGAAAAGCCAAGAGGCTTCCTAATTAGCCCCAAGAATTGATGAGTTTCACACAGGAATTAAGGATGTCCCAGGGAAACCACCACCAACCCACCTAAAAGGATCAAATTCAGCCCTAGCTGGCCATGTGGATCCTGCAAGCGTGGGCACCCACCACCCCACTGGGGACTAACAAGATAACATGGCCAGTAAAGCCCCGATGGGCTTGGGAACGCCCCCACATACCTGCCATGCCGGCACACACTCAGCCTCTCTGCTCCTCAGGAAAAGTACTTGGGAACAACCCGTGAGCTTTAGCAAAGCTGGAGGAGAATGAGAGAAGAGGTGACTGAAGTGGCCAGGAACTTCCCCAAGACCCTTCACCCTCCCCCCTGCTCCAAAACAACTCGAGGACAGCACAGTTTGCTTCATTTCTGTGACACTCTAGACTATCACACATCCAGGCTGACACCTGGTTGGCAGGGGGATAAAATCCCAGCTCTTCTGGCTGAGGCTTACACATCATTTAAGGCAGAAGATTACGAGAGGATCCCGTGATGTAGGGCCTCTCACTCCCGAGTGACCTACATCCAGGAGAGGGCCAGGTGGGACAGCAGGGAAAGGAGGCAGCTGTGGGCAGCTTGAAACCCCCAAGTTCATTACCTGGCCCAAAAATAATTTAAAAAACAAAAAATTATTTTTGCTGAATTCCAGCACAGGGAACTATCTAGCTGCCTTGTAGCTCCCATCTCTGCAAACAGAAGCCAAAAACCAGATCAAAAAGAGAGCAGGGAAATAAGAGCAGGGAAATCGGCCGGGGGGGAAAAAAAAAAATCAGTGGCAATTGTCACTAATGAGTCACTTGAGTGCTTGGCTTAACGATTACTCATGTAGTTGGACCATACCAGACCGTTCACCTCTGTCCCAGAAGTGAAAATTAAGGCAAATTACAGCAAACATTAAGAGCTGGGGTTTTAAATAGAAGCGTGAAGATGGCGTATCCCACCTGCCCGCAGGTTTTGCCCTCTCCCAGCTATCCGGGCAGAGCTGGCAGAAGCCAACACACTTCCCAGGACACGGGGTCCCGGCGCTTGCTGCCTGGGGCTCCCCGGAGGATTTAGGGGGCTCTCTACAGGGGTCTTCTCCCACCCTCCATCCATCCCCCAGCGCCAAAGGCAGGGGCCAGGCACAGCAAACCCCCGCGGCTCGCCATCCCTCCCAACATCCGCTGGCAGCCCCCGGATGATTCCATCCCGCCGGTGCTATAAATACGAGCTCCTCGGGCGCGGTGACGTCCCCCCGGCCGCCCCCACCCACGTGTGCCGGGACACACGACCAGACGCGCCCCCCGGCCCGACACCTCCGCCGCCGTGGGGAGAAAACACCCAGATTTTGAAGAAATTTGGTGTGCCTTTTTTTTTTTTTTTCCCCAAAATTGTGGGGATGTAATTGAGGGGGGTTGGAATATGGTGGAGGGGTTAAAAAACGGGAGTGCTCCTCACATGGATGATGGCACGGAGGAGAACCCCCTCCGGTGCGTGGCGTGGGTTCGGGGAGGGCAGGCAAGGCTGGGCTTCGGCGTGAATCGCCACGCGTGAAGGGCTGCGCGCCCTACGCGCCCCCACCTCAAAGCCGGGAGCTGGCTGCCAGCCGCGGCCCGGCTCGGCGAGAAGGGCGGCTCGCCCGCCGCTCGGTTCCCGCCGCACTCACGCGTGTGCGGGGTCACCGTGGGAGCCCCCACGCAGCGCTCATCCCCCTCCAAGAGGGGCGCAGAGCGGGACATCGGCGCAAAGGGCGGTCACCCCGCTCCGGGGGAACACCCAGCGCCCTCCCCCCGAGGCACTCTCCCCTCCGCACGGCCCCGGGACTCACCCCGCGGCGCGGCCCGGCCCGTGCGGTCCCGGCGGGAGGCGGCGGCCGCCCGCCCGCCCGGTGCTGCTCCTGCCGCAGCGGCCACGCTCTCGCGAGACTGCGGCGCCGCCGCCGCCCGCTCCATGGGCAGCGCCGAGATCTCGCGGGAGCGCGCCGCCGACGCTGTCCAGGGTCCTGATGCCGCCGGCCGGAGGGGCGGGGCCAGGGGAAGGGGCGGGGCCAGGGGGGCTCTATGGGGTGCGGGCTCCGTGGGGTGGGGGGGCATCGACTCCTGCTCGGTGCGGGGCGAGCTCCACGGGGGTACAAGACCACCCTCTGTGGGGCAGGGGCTCTGGGGGACAGCCCCTGGCAGTGCACGCAGGCTCCCTGTACGCAGGAGGCAATGGGAAGCCAGCAGGAGGCCAGATTTGGGTGACCTCATGTCCGCGCCCTGCTTCACATCCCTGTGCTTCACTCTGGGAGCAGTAATTAATTATTGGCTTGCGTGAGGGGCAGTGGATATGTTGATTGCTTTTGCTGGCAGTGTCAAGGTCGGGATCCAGAGGGCAGGGGAAGGGACTGGATTGATTCACAGGTGGACTAGGACAGGGATCATAAACTCCTAAAGGGGAAATAAATCCCAAATCAGCCTGAGGCCTCCATAGGCAGTGTCCCTTGTCCTCAGTGTCATGACACAGAACTCTGTGCACACCACTTGGACCTCCTGCCTCAGTGCTTGTGAGAATATCAGTGCAGTGTCATGAAAATGGCTTTATTTGAAATTACACTGTCCTCCCTTCCCAGGGTCCAACCTCAAGGGTCACAGATGGGCAACAAAGACAGCATCCCACTACAGAAAGATGTGAAGAGTGGGGCAAGGAAGCAGCAAAATCTCTTTACACCAGGGAGCCCTGGTAGCCAAACACCCTCAGCATGGGAACAGCATTGCTGTGGAGATGCAAGGAAGGAAATCTGGCAGAAACAGGGAAAATGCCTGCTTCACAGATGGTAAAATGGAGGGAAGCGGGAAAACCAGTGTGCCACAGATGACCCCATAGCAGGGGGCCCAGCTGTCCACTCTGACCTCCTTCTGGGTCTTGGACCCTGAGCTGTTCCCTGCGGAGAGTGGAGACCCCCACGCATCCAGCTCCATCCCCTGCCTGGCAGCAGGGAAGGAAAGGGAGAAGGGGATGGGGTCATGGATCCCCACTCTTGCCAAGCATCACTACTCACCCACATGTGAGACCTCATGGGGGTGCTCCAAGTCTTCCAGAGCCACCCTGGCTGAGCACCCTGGGAATTTGGGGCTTATTTCTTGTCCCTTATTTCCTGTTTCTTGATCTTTCTCTCACCTAAATTCCCTCCCCCCCTTCTTCTCTGCTGCCTCAGGCCCCCCAGTGCCTTTCCATCCCACTGAGGCTTTGGGCATGTCCAGCTGCAGAGCTGCTCCTTGCCCTCAGCATCATCACATTCCTGTCTGCCCACGGATTTTCCAAGTGGGGATATTCAGGATTCAAACAGATGTGTGCTCCCCTCGCTCATAGGGGAGCCAAGGGGATAACAGAGGGGCAGGGGAAGAGTCTCCCTGCTCATCCCACACTACCTCAGCAGGGCAGGTGGGAAGGATCCAACCAAGAATCTGGATCAAGCAGAAAATTCCCAGCAAATAAACAGGTTCAAAACCACTGAAGTCAACCCACAGGTCCAGTCTAGGGTCAGTCTGTGGGTCAGAGTCCAGCAGACCAGCTGCAGCTGACCCAGAAACCAGCTCCAACACAGCTCAGACTAGGACTGAGACCCCTGGGCTGAGCTTAAACAGAGCTTCTGTGCCACAGGCAGGATGTGGGTGGGAGTCCCCGGTGCGGCTGGTGGGGACCATTCATGTTTATTAATGCTCTCAGAGTCCTTATGACATTTCTCTGCTCAACATGCCGTAGCTCTGCAAAGGGATTTGTCTTATAAAAGGGATTTTCCCTTTTCTTTTACTGTCTGACTCTTAAAAATGAGAATTATCCTGAGCTCTGTAATTTTCTGCTTACTATAGGGATAAGGGCTCAGTTATCAGGGAGCTGGTGCCACCTTAGGATGCTCCAAATGTTTCCCCTAGCACCTTGAGACAGCCCCTGCACCCTGGTAAGACTGGGGTGCACCCTCAGGGGGCTGCTCCTGCGAAACAGCAGCTCCAGGATGCTGGTTTAGGACTGGGGCAGGGGATCCCTTTAACTGTGACATCTCGGGGGTCCATCTGTACCCCCTTTCCCAGGATTACAATCAGCTCTGGCATCAGCCTGCTGCTGAGTGCAACGTGATGAGAGGCTGAGACCTGAGCTGGGCAGATATGACGCAGAGATGGACGGTGGCACTGAGACTTTCCTTGTATCAGATGCTTCCACTTTCCATCCTGCTCCTGGGCAGGGCCATGTTGGATGAAAGAAAATATAGAGAGGGCAGGTAGAGGACAGGGGCTTGGGTTACTGTTCCTCTCCAGCTGCCCTGATGTCCATCAGGAATATGTTTCTGGGGTGTTTTTCCCACTTTTCCAGGTTTTGGCTAGTCTCTATGCTGTCTCCTGCAGCCTTCTTCATCCCTGCCACCACCAGCTCTCTTCTTGGCTCCTCTCCCAAATAGCCCTTACAAGCTCACTCCTCCTGTGGGTTGAGAGCAGGCAAGAAGGTGCTGCAGGGATTTGGACCCCTCCTGGGATGGGGTTGGGATGGCACTGGGATGTGGGACGCTCAGAGAGAAACTGTAATGGGGAAAGGGAGGAAGAAACCACTCCCTGGGTCCTGCAGTGACCAGCGTGGCTGCTCAGGGAGGACAGATGGACAATACTCAGGATGTAATTCCTTTACTCCTATTTTTTTCACCGTTCCTGCCTTTTCTGTTTGCCTCTTCTCCATTTTAAAGGACTCCCCATCCTCTTTCCCAGCTGTTTTCCTTGATCCCCCGTGGCTGGAGTTGTCTGTGCCTTTGTCCCCCTCTCCCTGCTTTTCCTCTCCCACTCCACTGAGCTCATTTCAGCTATTCCTTCACTTGGAATAATCCATTCACTCTGTTGTCCTCCAACAAATAAGCTGACAGGCTAATGAATGGCTTCAGATGGTAATTAGCAATGGAGTTGCTAATAATGAATTTCATTTACATTTTAAGCGCTGCAGAGGAAAAATAAGACCCTGTCATTAATGTGGCGCAGCCATGGCCTTGGTGGGGGGGGGAGCGTACCCTCCTGAAGCCTTTTTGTGATTGCACCTCACCTGCCTCCATTTTGGAGGCTGCAATAAGCAGAGTTCAGTAAACAGCAGCTAGAGGCTGTAGACAAAAAGCTGCTGCTGCTTCCGTCATCTGATGGTGGGGACGGAGCCACAAGGCCATGGAAAATGGGCCATGGGAGGCAGGAGATGGTTCTGGGCCAGGAAAGAAGGGCTGGATGGTTTAGTGAGCATCAGGGTTTCATCTGGCTTGGCCAGAGCCCTGGAGCTGTCAGCCTTCAGTGTGCATGTAACCCTCCCAGGTTACCTGGATGATTACCTTGAGGGTTGTCCCAGTCACTGAAATATTTCCCCATTATTTTCCCAGGGGTTTAGCATCTTTTGAAGGCAGCAATTTCCCTGAGGGCTTTAATCTATCCCTGCCTGCCTGAGGAAGGAACCAAGTGCCATCTGCAAGGACGCCATAAAGAGTTGCCAAGCGGAAAGGGGGAAAATGCCATTGTTTTGTCTCACAGGAGCAAGGGATCTATGGTGAAAGCACAGGGAATAGGCACGCTCACTACTGCAGAGCACCAGAGAGGACTTGGGGATGCTCAAAGCCTGGATCTGGGGATGCTTAAAACCTGGATCTGGTGCTGGGGATGGGCCTGGAAGCATTGCCTGCCCTGCCTCAGTTTCCCTCTCTATGCCCAAGGGGCCTCAGGGACAAGATGCTCTCCATCCCCTGGAGTGTACCAGCACACTGCTCATAGATCCCATCCCATCCCACTGCCTGCAGATCACCCCCTGACCCCGGTCCAGTGATTGGATCAGGGGGTGTCCCATATCCACCCCCATTTAGGCAGTGGTACCCACAGAAAGTTGCTTTGGGGACCACAGGGATGTGAGATTCATCCTGGATGGGTGGTGATGGCCACATCCTGCCATCACCTCCACAGGCATGGGATCGATTGATTTATTTATGTATATTTTCAAGCCCTGCTCTCAGTGAAACCAATCCAGGGGCCTGCATAGGCCGATAAGATTTGACTGCAAGTCAATACTCAGCGTGTCTTTCCACTGTGCAATGATCCCCCGGCCAGTGGGGTGGGAGGGGACAGGCAGGTGACAGGGCCGGGCAAAGGGCCAGCCTGGGGCAGGGACATTGCCACTCCCTGGGAAGGGATTGGGGGCAGGAAGGGGACACCTCCTGGCCTGCAATAGGGATCCTCTGGGATTTACTGACAGTAAAAGTATTGGTGAGCCTACAGCTGGCAGCTTCACACTGGGGATCTGGAGATGGCGAGGCTCAGGACTGGGAGAGCAGCAGGGAGGAAAGGAGCAGCAGAGGAAGGAAAGGAGGAGGGGGAGAGAGAGAGAGAAATCACCCATGAAAACCAACTCTGCCACAGCATCTGCTCCTCAGAGCTTTGGGAATTGAGACATTTTCCTGCAGGGCAGAGCGAGGGGTGAGGATGTGGGGTGTCGGGGGGGGGGGGGAGCAGAGCCCTGGCACACTTGATGCATGCCTGGCTGCAATGCCATCTGCCTGGCTTTTTCCTGGCTGCAGGTCCTAGTAGCTTCTCTAATGGCTAATAAGGGTTGAGCTCAGGCTCCAAAGTACTTCCCACAGTATCTGCTGCATCTTTGTGCCATGCCTGAGCGCAGCATGGCCGGGATTCCCCATCCTTCTGGGAATGCTGCAGGGCAGGCAGGCAGGGTGACTTTTGCTGTTAGCAGTGGGTGTCCTTAAGAGGAGCAAGCGCAGAGAGAAGGGACCAGGTTCTCTTTAAGGGGGCAGGACTTTGGGAGCATCATGAAGGCAAGAGTGAGTTTCTGCCTCTGTCTTCCACCTTCCTCTCCTTCCTTTCCCTTCCCTTCCCTGTTTTTGGACAGGGAGCTGGGTTCCCTGCTCTCCCCTTTGCCTGTCAGGTATGAAGGCAGGAGCTGGGTGCTGGGAT